CATTGGGGGGGGGGGGGGCCTGAAAGATTAAGGCAAGACTACACAGGCCCCATTTAACTCAGTTCTGCTGATATTAATAAAATGCAACATTTACCCGATTTGCACCCATATAACAGCACTTTTAATGAGCAAGGACTGTCCAGGAATTTAACTACTAACATGCATCTCAACAGAAGACCATTATATTGACTGCTTTTGTTTTGTGGGGGGGGGGGGGGCCTGAAAGATTAAGGCAAGACTACACAGGCCCCATTTAACTCAGTTCTGCTGATATTAATAAAATGCAACATTTACCCGATTTGCACCCATATAACAGCACTTTTAATGAGCAAGGACTGTCCAGGAATTTAACTACTAACATGCATCTCAACAGAAGACCATTATATTGACTGCTTTTGTTTTGGCTCCCACCCGAGGGCTGCGTGTCGAGCCCTGCCTTAACCGAAACCGCACCATGGGCTGCAAACAAACATGTCGAGTAGCCCTGCGCAAGGCTATAAATGCTGCAGAGGAAGGTTATGTAACATCCAACTTCCTCCTCCTTTCTCTTCAGGACATTTGCTTTTTAAATGTAACTGTGGCAAGCCCGTGAGACACCTGGCGGTGGGAAAGGAGAAGTGCTCTCCTGAAATCTGCTTTCCAGCCCTTGTCAGTGTTTTCCAGCCATACGGTTAAAATATTCACAGTCTGCAAAAGTAACAGCCTGGACACTGGCTAATATTCTCCTTAAGGGCTGAGATAGGTTGTAACTAGCACCTCAGTCGATTAGCAGGGGCGCCGCAGCGGGGTTTGCTCCCGGCTCTTAATACATGTAAAAGGCTGGTGTGCAGCAGGGGGGACATGGTGAGAGCCGGGAATCAGCTGTCTTTACTCGCGCCAGGTTCCACCCCCACCCCTCCGCTGAGCTCCTGGTTTTTAAATGTATTAAGAGCCAGCAGGCTCTAGACATTTAAAAAGCAGAGGTGCAGTGTCTGGGACTGGTCGCGAGTCAGGAATCAGTTGGTTCCCAGTTGATTCCCGGCTTGCACCGGTCCCCGCTATCCTCCTGCCTCCTTCGCCTCCCGTGGAGCTGGTGCTGGGGGGAACCAGCTTAAAGCCAGTTCCCTCCAGCCCCTGCTCCTGCTTCTTCCAAGGGGAAGCAACTAGTTGAGGGACTTGTTGACTACTCACTTCTATTCCTAACTTCAATCTGCCCAGCAATGATTTCATATCAGCTGTGGGACAGCTTGTGCCCACATCCGCCTGCCTGCGCAGACACTGCCGTGAGAGGGGCCGCACAAACACCTAGAGGAGAGCAAAGCGTTTGATGGGCCATGGGCATCCACAGGACCCCACTGCCTGGGGCAGGAAGACTTTCCCCCGCATCTTTTCCTGAATACCAGCTATCCTGGGTGTGGCCCTGCAGCGGGTGCTGTGGAAATGACTTGCAAGGCCATAAATGCTGCAGGGGAGGCTCATGTAACAACTCCAACTTCCACCCCCACTTCCTCCTCGCATTTGCTCATTGCCTGGAACAGGGTCGCCCGGTGCTGTGAGCTGTCCAGGCTCTGGGAGACGGCTGTTTGCCTCCTACACGTCTCCCTGTTCTCTCAGGAGACTAAGCCGACCGCACCTGCTTTCAGCCATTCTAAACAAACACAAATCCCACCAGGACAGTCTGGACTAGAACACGTCCCCACCTCCCTCCCCCGAGAGCTGTAGGCAGCCTGGAGAAGGAGAGCAGCCTAAGGGTTCAGGCTAAACTTCCGCAAAGACACTGCCAGATATTTGTGAAAAACAACAGGCGTCCGGCCTCTAGTCTCCGGACAAAGCCTGAGACACCTGGCGGGGGAAAGGAGAAGTGCTCTCTTCAAATCTGGTTTCAAATTCCTGTTAATGTTTTCGAGCCATGACGTTAAAATTCTCATTGTTTGCAAAAGTAACAGCCTAGACACTGGCTAATGTTTTCCTTGAATAAGGTCTAATAATTATTAGTGTAAATATTACACCAAGAGCTGCATGGTGGTGTGGTTTTTCCTAGGGAGGGTAAGTAGCATTTAATTAGCTAATTGAGTAGTTGTTGGAAATTCCATCACCTACTCGATTAGTAGCTGGGGAGGCACTCGTTACCCCCACTGCAGCTCTGCCTTTTTAAAAGGCAGAGCCGCAGGGGTTGGTTTCACACCTGGTCCCCCGCTGCACCTCTGCCTCCCCTGCCTCCCTCCAGACAGTGGGGGGAACCAGCAGCTCCTGGCCAGCACTAGTTCCTGTTCTTCCCCCCGCCTCCTTCTTGCAGCCTCTGATACAGGGGGCATTTGCCCCAGACTATGAGCTTCAGACAGGTATGGGATTTCCCCACCATGTGCAGCCTCATTGGCCTGGTTTAGGGTGACCCAAGAACAAGTGTGAAAAATGAGGACAGAGGTTGTGGTAGGGTAGTAAGGGCCTATATAAGAAAAAGCCCCTAATACCAGGACTGTTATAAAATCGGAACATCTGGTCACACTAGCGTAGCAGCCTCCCCACTCCACCCAAATACAGAAGTCAAACTACGCCTGTTTAGCTCAACAACATCTCTGCAGCTGAGGTCCGGCCACTGCTTGGAAAACGTGATTATTAGTCTCCGAGGGGTGACCAGGTTAGTCTGTTATTTTAAACACAACGCGGTGTCCTGTGGCACCTTAGAGACTAACACAACTGTAGATAGTGTCATGAGCTTTCGTGGGCTAAAGTGGGGTTTGCCCACGAAAGCTCATAATACTAGCTGTATTTTCGTTAGTCTCTAACGTGCCACAGGACTCCTCGTTGTGATTATTAGCGTTACGGCAGAGGCCTTAGCTGAGATCAAGGCCCCAATGTGCTCGGTGCTGTACACACCTTCAGAGACCAGGGAGTATTTATCTGATTGATTCATGAGGCCCCCGCAGCCTGGCAGCTAGAGCCACACACATCAACCCAAAGCACCATGTTCCGAATCAAGAAGGGAATGGAACGGAACCCTCCAGGCCCTGTAATGACAAGAACCAGCCTCCATCCCGGGGGAAGCAAAGAGTGAGGCAGCGTTTCAGGGTTTTCAGAACACTCTGCCCCTGCCAGCAACTCCACCCCTGCCACAACGCTTCCATGGCCTGGCTCAGAACTTAAGGTGCTGCCCCTGGGGGCTGTGCAAACCCCGGACAGTCTGATGACTGGTTAACGGGGACGGCTGTCAGAGAACAAAAGCAGCCCACACAGAGGCTGCTGCAGAGCTGGAAACGGAGCCCAGTTCTGCGAAGGCCCAGCCGGAGCCTCGGGCAGTGATGGGAGGGGAATGGGCACTGCCCCGCCGCTGAGCCTTTCTAGTCTTTTTAAAACTGGAAAGTGATTTGGGGGGTTTTAAACTGTAGCCAGGCCAGGGGCTCTTCCTGGCACAGGCAGGGGGCTCTTCTCAAAGGCCTCTGGCTCATGGCGCTTGACTGTATTGGATCCATTCATGGAAAGCCAGGGCCGAACAGTGCTGGCTAATACAAGGGGACCTCGCATAGCGTCTTGCCAGGAGAGGTCTAGAAGTCCTGCCTGGCCCTGAGGTTACACTGGCTGGGAGGTGCCACTGGGGATTTACTGCAGAACATCGGGTCTCGGTAGCCCATTGGGCAATGGAGAAAAGGAACAGGGCAGGTGTGTCCCTGGAACTATCCCTACCTGTGACATGTATGTCCTTTAGCCATTCAGCAGTGTAAAGCAGGAGGGAGGAGAGCCCGGGCGCTTCCCTCTACAGCAGTGTTTCCCAATTGGTGCTCCGTGGGACCCCAGGGTTCCGCGAAGCGAAAGTAAGAGTTCTGCGAGAATGTGGCACCCCCCAGCCCCCTCTTAAAGAGACAGAGTCTATTTTGCAGACTTTTTTTTTTTTTTTTTTTTTGCTTGACCAATTCTGGTGGGTCTTTTTTTTTGACAAATTTTACCCTGACAACCCTAGGGGTTCCTTGAAATTGTTTTAAGTTGAAAAGGGTTCTGTGGCCAGATAAAATTGGGAAACACTGCTCTACAGTTACACCAGTTTTATGCCAGTGTAAATCCATTGCCCTCATTGGACCCTGGATTTTAAGAGAGACCAGAATCCAGTGCAGCTGCCTATGCTTCCTGGGCAGTGGCAAGAGAGACCAAGGGAGGCTGAGTGGGCGAGGGGTGTCTCGCCTTTGCTTCCATCCCTCTTCATGCTCTAGGAAGGAGGGGCCAGCAGTTAAGGTTCCAACCAAGGGCTGGAGAATGTGGGGTTGAGTTCTCTGCTCTGCCACTGACTTCCTGTGTGACCTTGGGCAAGACAGTTAGTAACAGAAGGGGCATGGATCCTGGGATCATAGCACTGCTCCACCTCCCAGAGGTGTCATGCAGGTAAATATGTTACAGACAGTGTGGTGCTGAGCTATCTCAGTGACAGGGCTGGGTCAGTGCCTAGGACAGGCAGGAGCAAACTCCTTTGGTCTGAGAAGTCTGCTCTTGTAATGCATGTGGTGGTGTTACATTAGCAGAGAGTATCCCAGCACAGAGCTGACAAGAAGGAAACCAAGCTGGCAATTGCACACAAATGCATTTTTATTTCTCTCTACAGACCGGATACTACTGCATACACAGTATGCACAGTGCCCATAGGGCTCTTCCCAGCCGGGGGAGAAACCCACCATCCACAAGGAATGAAACTGCTCAGTACAAAGACCATCATTATAATAATGAACATGCTGGAAAGAGCTAGCCTGACAGCCAAAACGTATAACATTGAAACACCAAACTCTGCGTCTACTTTCCTTTTTCTTTAATATAAAGCATTCAGGTATCGTTTTCCTAAACAGAAAAAGCAGCAACATGGTAGAAATATCCCACACAGCTTTATCTAGTGACCTCTTGCTAGCTCTAATGTACAGAGTGTGATGGGGTGAAGAGAAGCTAGGAATCTATCTTTGCTGCTATGCAAGCGGCAAGCCAACAGAGCAACAGAACTTGTAACACCATCTACCAACAGAGTGAGGCCCTAAATTCAGAGTGAGCAAACATGGCTCAGAAAGCCAGAGCAAAGCTGACAGCTTTTACAAGGAAAATCAGAGAATTCTCTCCTACAGAGACTGCTATCTGTCACAATCTTAACCCAACTGTAACACTGATAACATTTAGCCACCTACAAAAATTTCCTTCATTGTGAAGACACATGCCCATCCACCCGGAGTCCTGGTGTACGTTACTGTCACCAGTTTTTGCACAGCTTAAATACCACTCAACAGAATACTTGAACCTTTTTCAGAGGATCCACGTGAGACTGAAAAATCAAACGTATTCCATTCTTCCCACATATAAATAAAAGAGGGGAAATAATATTCCCTACATAGAGAGGATCAGGATTGGACTATCAAATGCAGTCATACCCATCCTCTGGAATATAAAAGAGAAAGGTCCATAGAGCAAGCATTTTCTGCCCTCCCACCCACAGTCTACCAGGGTCTCCAGAGAGCACTGATGTTCTTCAGGGATGCTTGCTTTGGGGTGTTCTGGCTGGAAGGGGAGCAGACGGTCTCTGGAGCAGCCACCTGGCTCTTCTGGAAGTGACTCAAGAGCTTGCTCTGCGTTTCTGTTTGGACTTTATGGAGAGACAGGAAATGGAAAGCCTCCTGCAGGCACCTGGAATAGCCTTCCTTGAAGTCGAACTGAGCGTTTTTATGGACGGCTCCGGCAGCTAGAGAAGGATAGAGTGAGGGGAGGAGAAAAGAGACCACGATTTAGATTCATTGCTCATGTTCATGGCACTTCCTACAGCACATCACTGGATTGAAGCCAAGTCTGATACTCACTCTTCATCTGCAGCTGGCTCTGCTGTTTCAGGTAGCTGACCGTCATCTCCAGGATGTCGGCCTTCTCCAGCTTGGAGTTGGGCTGGTGTCTCTGGAACTCCTTCTCCAGCAGGAGTTTCAGCTGCTCGATGCTGCTGTTAATCCGGTCCCGGCGCATTTTCTCCACCACCGGCTTCCTCAGCTGCACAAAGCAGGACAAAAGATTTGCTTAGAAAACATCCTAACTCTGCCACATCTCTGAATCTCTACCTAGCACGGGATGCTCAGCTGGTGAAACTGACACCGAAATAGAACGACACTTATTTGTACCAGCTGAGTTGCTAGTTCCATCTGTTTCACTGAAGCAGTCAGCAAAGCAGACGGTGCCGGTACTTACTTTGTTTTTCTCTTTTGGTGTCAGCAGGTTGTGCTCCATGAAAACAGTGCTGGGAGCCATCTGTCCTGAGCTAAGGAGGCAGATCTCAGTCGGGCTGAAGTCCCGTGGAAGCGTGCTGCTGGAAGCTGGCTCTGCCCTTATTTATATGGCACAACCCCGTTGAGAATCTGTGGGTCTCTGACTTGGTTGAGTTTCCCACACTCCGGAGCCAATCAGAGATAGGCAGGACAATAGAAGAAGCATCTATTCTTGCATGCTCCATCGGCAGTGAATAGCCGGGGGATAATGACCTTCTCCCAGATGAGCAGGTGGGGAGTATGTGCTACGGGAAAGATTGGGATCCAAATTACATGTTAGAAGCTGGGAAAGAGCTGGCCCTCAGTGAGAAAAGCCTGCTGACTGACGCCACAGATCAATAGCTTTCTGGGCATGAACAAGATTCAGCTCACATACAATGGTGAAGGCAGGAGCTAGTTGCTGATGGCGGGAAGGCAGCGCATCTGTGCAGAGGAATAGATGGGACTGTATCCCGTTTGAAAGCACACGCCCAAACCCACACTCTGGCTGTGCACACACCCGGGACACACCGATGGAGGCAAGCAGCACCCTTGCTTGAGATCACTAGCTGCTGAAAATAAACCGTCGACTTTGTTTTGCTTATTTTAAACCAGGGTTGAAAATTTGGGTTGGTTTGTTTGAATCACGAGTCAGATTCTGACATTCCTCCTCTGCTGACATGTGTGTCACCAGACTCAAACTACAGTGTGGACTCCATGGTCCAGCTCAGAATAAACAATGCTCGTCATTGTGAGTACACGCATCTAGACAGAATGCTACTTGCTCACTGGTGCAGCGGACAATCTTGTGTCTAAGCAGAGGACGAGGAGAGAGATTTGAGTTCTGTTCTCAGACGTCCTGCGCGACTTTAGGCACTTCACTCCACCATGCTTTAATTTCCCCATATAGGAAAAACAGTCACAAGAATGCTTTATTTATCTGTTCTTAAATAGGAGGTGAAAGAGGGAATATAGTGGGTGCTGAATATTTAATACGTTTGCATGTATGCACTACCTTCGTCCAAGGACCTCAAAACATAATGAACATGAATTTAGCCTTACAACCCACCCCCTTCCATTCCCATCATGAGGCAGATTTTCATGGGATTATCCTCATTTTACCAATGGGGAAACTAAGGCACAAAGCAAAGTCACATAGCAAGTCAGAAACACAACTGAAAATAGAATCCCAATCTCCTTCCCTAGGCTACATTCCACACTAGGATGTGATCCTATTAGCAGTCTCTGCTCTAGAGAGACCCAGGACTGCACTAGCAAAAGATGCTGCTGTTTTGGATGTTAAGATGCATTCTTAGAACTATACATCATTATCATCATCATTAATAAATTGCACCTGACTACACCCTGCCTGCTTGAATTGCAAGGAATTCTCGCTCACTTTTCGGAGCATTAAATTAACTCGCACCAACCTAGGTTGTGGCTCAAACGGAAGCAGACAGATTTCTGCACCATCTGTATGTTTAAGAATTGCATGGAGTCAGGCTGATAAAAACAGTACACATCTTCCGTTCCAATTCATTACTTTATAAGGCTTTGGTTAAAGCATGGAGCCGGGCTGCAGAAGCACCAGGGTTTGTTCCCAAATTTGTTCCAGATTCACTGTATGAACTTTATCAGGTCATGTCCCTTCTCCATGCCTCAGTTTCCCATGGATGCCAAGGGGATTATAATTTTCCCTTCTCTCACTATCCGATTCAGTTTATATTTGTTAAGAGTTTGGGGACCATGCCATGGAACGTGCTAGAAAGCTGTATGCAATGTATATGACAGCGAATACAGATGCACACGCTTAGCCATCACTCTCTAATTCAGCTATTCTCAAAACCAGGTAAGGCTTAAGTGACCTCTTCCAGGATCTGCTTTTCCTTCCCCCATTGTACTGCCCTTGAATAGGCCCCCTCCTCTGGTACAGAACAGCAGCTGTTGAGCTCTGAGTCTTTTATGCCAAGTGGTGGGAAAGTTTTGTGACACCATCTTACATGTTTCCCCCGAAGTGTGTGGATTAATTCCGAGCCCACGTAATGCCACCTAGGATCCCATTGTTTCTCCTCCCGCTCTCCTCTGGGGGACAGCTCTAACACAGAACCTCTCAAGCAGCACACTCATTTCTAGGGCTGATTAGCCAAGGACACATAGGGAGAAACCTGCCGGTTCCCCAGCCCACACCCTCACCTAACAGCTTTGCCTGAGATTGCTCCTGCTTTGCAGAGGAGCCTTCCAATAACCAGCTGTGAGAAGAGCCATCTAGTCTCCCTTCAACATCCATCATGCACACGCCTGCCCCAGGTTTGAATCTAACAAAGCTGTTTTAAGCGTCAGACGCCCCCGCCCCGTAATAACCACTTGTACAGGACAAGCCAAGCCTTTCCACGCTTACCCTCCTTTGGCGGGAGCATCTGTGCCCTGTGAGTTTTCTGGCCCAATCAGGATTTTTGTTTTTGTGGAAGACAAATGACTTTTCAAAGGGAAGGCCTGTTAGAACAAGGGTGAGGGTGCGCAGGTGACCTGTGCTGCCTTTGCCCGTTTTCTATCACAGTCTGGACCTCTGGCCACATCTGGGATTTTGAGCCATGACTCGGAACACATGTTCTGTCTAACAGAGAACCATGGGGTTAGACTCAGGCAGAACTGGCAGAGCCTCCAAGCTGTTCGTTGACTGTGCTAGGGTGATTAGAGTCACTTGTCTCCACGGTTGGTATAAATCCATATAATTCCATGCATGTCAATGGAGCTCTACTCATTGGCCCCCACGGAGGGTCCGGTGCGTGTTTCTAGGTCACATTGGAGCTCTACTCATTGGCCCCCACGGAGAGTCCGGTGCGTGTTTCTAGGACACAGTCTAAAAATAATACAATTTGCAAATAGGAATTTTACTTCCTAGCTGAGCCTGAATAATCAACAAATCACATAGGGCCAAATCATGAATTGCTATAGCCTCACTGAAGGCAATGGGAATTTCATTCAATGAAAGACTGCAGAATTTGTCCCATTGAAAAAAGAACAAAATATGTAACCTGCACCGGCTCCCCCAGGCTTCCGGAAATTGATCGACACTTGCAGGAAATTAGTGATATGTCATACAATGCCTGCTTCATTCCTCCCTGCCAATAGACGCTGCAAGGGAATTACTTTCAATTCCTGTTGGACTTCTGTGGTTTGACGGACCTTTTTGCAAGAGTCATTTGCTTTGGTTCTGGTAAGATTGGGACTGGGAGCCCTGGAAATCCCACGTTCTGTCCTTGCCTCTGATATTAGCTCTTTGGCCATGAATGAGTCACTTAGCTACTATGGGCCTCTGTTTCTCTGGATGTGAACCAGGGATGATCCTTTGGTCAGTTTCACTGATTGTTGTGAGGTTCCTCTATTGTATGTAAATGATAAAAGTGCAAAGTCTCTCTAACTTTTGACAGCAGCTTTTCCTGGCCTCCCTGAAACAAAATGTTCTAGTCTCAGGAAAAATAAACAAAATAAATGGCTCAATGGTTTTCTCTGAGGCTTTGCAATCAATAAGGAAAATGAATTAACCAGTGAAGAACTAGCTTTGGAAGAGACCACCACTTTGGCATGCTGCAAGACTGACCTACTGTCACACCAGTTTGATTTGGAAATCCCAAAGCAGGGCAAGGAGCCAAATTCAGCTCTACAGGTGTCACTGGAGTTATATCAGGGATCATGAATTTGGAATATTTATGTCCCCAAGTCAGAATGATTTGCTTTCTACTGTGGGACCAGAGCACATGGCATTGGGAAGCAAACAGATGATGACGGTAAGATCCTACCTATAGGTACCATGCTCGAAATGTGCAGTTAGCAATATCCCGCCTTCTGAGTCTCTGCCAGATGTTAGCTTTCAAGGCGTTTTAAAGGCGCTGCGGCTTTCTCAAGTCTTCAGCGAGCTTCACTGCTCTGATTGCTTCCTTTCTGATAACTGCTACCCAGATGGCCTTTTGGGAGCAGGGTTTCCCACTGAACACAATGCAAAGTCAAGCACCATTGCTAATGTGGTTTGTAGCCAGGCACACTTCTTTTGTGTGGGGAATGAATATGGTTAAGAAATGGTGTGGGAAACTTGGAGGTACACAAACTTCCACAGCCTTATGTTAATAAGCTGCTTACCATCGTAGGGTACTTAGGAGAAAAGGAGAGGCAAAGACTCTGTGTGAGAGATGGGAAAGGCGGCAAGATCTCAGTGGACGTGGATAGACCACGTTAGCGTGAACCCTGGTGACCCGACTCAGGGAAAACTCCCATTGGGCCAAATCCTGAAACCTTTTCCCAAGTGAAACCCTCACTGAAGCCAATGGGAATTTCAGCCTGAATAAAGCCAGAGTGGGACTTACAAATTTGACCCATAACCTTTGGCATTTCCAGGGCCACAGTCTGATCTCAGCTACACCAATGTAAATCTGGAGTGACTCCGTCATCTGCAGGGGAATTCTCCCTGATTTTCACCAGCATAACCGGGATCAGAATCTGGCCTTTCTATCCACGCAGCTCAGAGCCCTTTTCAAGCATTTATGAACAAATGAGGTAGGATACCCCATTTCGCAGGATAACTGAGGATCCAGTAGGATAAGAGTCTGATTTTCATAAGGATCTGAGCCTATTTTTTTGAGCATATTTACATGTGTGTATCCAAATCACATGATTTGCACACGCAGGTGGCTAAACAGGTCCTTGCATATGCAAATCTGTAGTTGGCCTGTGACCCACAGTAAGCACAAACATAAAACCGACATGCAAGTGGGCGTCAACTTTGAAAAAAACAGCAACAAATGTGAATCTGTGAACTGCAAATCAGGCTCCCGCCTCGCCTGCCAACTCAGGACTCAGCCTGCATCTGGCAACTGTTTTGCTACAACTTCCAAACATTGGGCCGGACAGGAGGGCATCTGGGCTCAGTCTGTGGTTTTGCAGGGATGGCATCCACGTGAAAAACGACTCGCCATGGATTGAGTTTTGGGAACCCTGAGTTCACTGGGGCAGAATGCAGGCCTGGACTATAGTGCAAAACCAGCAAGTACCCCTGGTGCTCACGCTGCTCTGCAGAGGGTGGTGATGTTTGCTCACACTCCTCCCTGATGGCAGAAGCCGTCCTGACAGAGCTGGGAGTGGTCAGAGTGGCGATTCTCAAACGTTTGTACTGGTGACCCCTTGCCCACAGCAAGCCTCCAAGCGCGACGCTCCCTAGAAATGAAAAACCCTTGTTAAATATTTAACACTATTCTACATGCTGAAGGAGAAG